TTCGACCAATCACATCACGAATAGATTGGTTTCACATACATTTCATCTCAATTTTATTATGGGACTAGAATTTAATTTTCGTGCGCAAGCGCGCGCGTCATATTTATTGTCATGATATATTTATGTGTCGTTTATGTATATTATATTTACTTTCAACCAATCAGAATGAGAATATTTATTTTCGACCAATCACATTACGAATAAATTGGTTTCACATACATTTCATCTCAATTTTATATTAGGATTAAATGGTTTTTTAAAGTCACAATAAATTTTTAACTAATTGTTTTTTTCGTACAAATGGAAGAGTCTCTAAAATGGAGTTAGACAATTTTTTAATTAGAACGTCGATATAAAATATAAATACTTGCCAAGCTCGTGTAAATTATACAAATGATACTAAGTACCGGCGCAATGACGTGAATACTTATTTTGGTGACCTGGGCAAGGCCCAGCGCTGGAACGTAAATGACGATCGGGACGTAAATAAACAGAGTGATGATGTAGAAAAATGAGTAAATAAGTCTAGTGGAACGAGAAAACCGGAGCTGGAGGTAGCCGAAGACACTTGGTTGCTGGAGATGGTAAAAAACTGGCAAACATATGTAGACCGTTACCAAACCAGTTAATATAACTGAAACAATGGTTGCCAAGTAATGGGTTCCATACTGATAAATTTCTGCAGGTACGCCGACCAAAGCTATCCCCGACAGATGGCTGGATAATTATTATATAATTCATAATTATTGGCTGTTTGCTGGTGTTTCTAGTCTAGATAATTAATAATTGATTATTGAGGATTATTTTTACCAGGTCAAAATGCTCACTGACACAGGAAAATAATTCATCGTTTTACCACCAAAATTGTATTCAGTGGTGGTGGTTTGCTTTCGCACTAATCCGAACCACCCGCCTATTAGTACACTCATGCTCAGCAGCGTTCCAAAAAGTATGTAGTCTGTCCAGCTCAATTTAACGTCCAGAAAATTTATTTCTGTTGAATTAAACATTTTGTTTTAAAACGCCCGGCACAACTTTTAGATGAGAACTGATTTTTTTAACCGTATAGTAAGTATCTAGCACAGACGCTGAGTTTATAATTTATAAAATAATCTCTACCTTGGTAAGTATTGATTTATTACTGATAATGATAAAATAATTAAATAAATAATTAATTATTTGATTTTAAGGAAATTAATATGACGTGAGTGTTATCAAATGATAAGATTGATGATATAAAATATGCAGAGTTATAATAAGAGTCATTTGAAAATTAAATTATTGAATTTTGAAGCCATTAATAATTTAAAGGAAAAATTAAAAGAATGAGTAAAGGTAAAATCGATATTATATGTGTTGACTTTGTTTTATTTAGCAGCATGACGCTGCTAGTGACGATTAATTTTGCATTGCAGCAAGCCTTGTTTTATCTCGGTTACATCACCAACAATCATAACTCATAGTTGACTATTTTATTTGGTAATAATTATCTAAAGCGTAATAAGCCTTGTGTGATTAAAACAACAAAGTCTTGATCACGGTTGAATAAAAGCAGTAGAAATATGAAGATTAATTAATGTGTGTTATATTATCATAATAAAGAAAAAAAAATATTTGCTCAACGGGGTCGAAAAAAAGATATAATGTGAATAATACTATTAAACTATTTTTAGCTGTTTAACTGAATCCAATTATCAATAATGGAATAAACGTAAAAGGACTGGAGGTAAATGGAATTTGAGAATAAAGTTTACGTGATAAAAAGATCTGAAAAAAAAAAAAAAATAAAAATGTATAGTACTCTTGAATCATTTTTCTATAGTGTAGCTTTCTGTTGCACTCCTCGGAGCCTAGATTCTCTTGGATTTTTCCTATTTCGATCCTCGAGAGAATATGCTCGTAGGGATATGGGGAGCTTCTGCAGAGTACCTTCGAGTATTCAATCCACCACTTGAGAGAGAGCTTACAACGAATGCATCAGATACTACAAGGGCACTAAGGCTTGAGCTTGTGTAGAAAAATGCTTCACTTTTCACTTGAATTATACATTTTTTATTCTATTTTTTTCGCAATAATATTATATTACAAATTATAAATAATAAATAAATATTTTAATAGTTTAAAAAGAGCTTTGGCTTCTAATGGAACTCAAAAATAATTCTATTGTTTTCCATAAATACACTGAGAAAAAAAAATACTTTTGCTCAATTAACAATTTCTTGGCTCAAGAAATTCGCTGACGATCAAATAATCTATTATTATTAATTTCTGAAGAAAAGAACATCAATATTTATAAATATAGATATATCTTTGTATAATAGATGAATAAAAAAATAGCTTTTACGTTAAATTACGTAAAAATTATTTAAGTCAATTTAACAATTTCTTGAGCTAAGAATATATATTCTTGAAAATTTTCAAGAACATAAATTCTGGTATCAAAAAAATTTTCTTACTAAAATTTTTTTTTCTCTCAGTGTAATATTGAATTAAATTTATATGATAATTAATGATTTTATATTTATACGGTATAGCTGTTTTTACTATAATAAAACCTATTTGAATTTTTTCAACATTTCTCTTCGATCATTTTTGCATTTTTTTTCTTTAAAATATTTTTTATTATGTGCCAAAAAAGTATAACTTCTAACGCGTGTACATAAGTACATACATTCCTTTTTCTTTTTAACAAACCAGGTCAAGAAAATTATTTTAAAAAATTTGCATTTATATTTTTTTTGAGCTTAAAAAATGGATTTTTTAAAAATAATTTTCTTTTCTATAATTTATTTATTATAAAAATTCTAAAAATGATCAAATATCTCTAAATTTTAGTATTATTATTTTTAAATTGAAAATAATTGTTTATATTAAAAAATAACTGTACAAACTAAAGTAAAATATTATAAATACAAAATTATGTAAATGTGAAAAATAGTTTGAAATTTTTATATAGTTAGGCTGCTTCATTTCAAAACAGTTATTGAAATTTTTTAGATTTTTTTAAATTTACCTTAGAAGAAAAAAAATCGTCTGGTAAATTAATAAAAAATTCTATTTAGGCATAGAATATATATTAAAAAAAATATCGGTAAAAAAATATAATTAGTTACTTGAAGTACAAGAAAATGTAACAATACTAAGAAAAAAAAAAGGGGGTCTAACAATTTTTAGTTACTGTATTTTAAAATAAGAAAGCCGAACCATTTAAAAATTATTTGATTTTATTAATGTGAAAAAATTTTGAAAATTATCTTGTGTTACTAAAAATAGGTTACTTACTTAGGAATTCGCGTCCAGAGTTTTTAAATTTTCAGTGGTAATATTTTTGAATGTATTCAAGCGTCACAAAAAAAAATGTTGACTTTTAGGAAAATTTAATTAAAAAAAAAGTCAGAAATTAACAATTTTCAACTTAAATTCAACAAAAATATTCCCGAAATAATTTTGATACCGCGTAGCTAACTAGAATATGACTTTGGGGTTGATTAAAGCGAAACACGTGGTAAGAAAATTGAAAGTCATGAAAAAAGTAGATACTATATAGTGTATAGTCTCCATTGGATATAGAGTCATTTTTATTTTCAGTCAGGAAACGGTTATAAGACCGTCTAGAGACCGTCACATAATTTTGAAAAAATTCTGTAATGCTTGAAGGACCGTCGCATTTCAAACGACTACAAATTTCGTCATTGGCATCTATATAGACGTTTTTGACAGAATTTTTTAATAAAGCATTTTTGGAGAATTGATGCAAAATTGACGGTCACATTAAAAACCGACATGAATTTGGTCATCTACATAGGCGTTTTTGACGAAAGTTTTAAATTATAATTCATTCTCAAATCAAAACTATAAAGGAAATCGATCATTGTATTATCGAATTTACCGAGATATTTCAGTTTTAGCTTGTATATGTACAGGTAATCATTTTGAAGTCGAATAAAAATAATTTTTTCATGTACTATTTATAAATTGTCCTTTAACATAACTTTCAAACATTAAATGATGTAATAAATATTGAATGACATAAATCATATTATTATTATCACAAAATGTATAAATAAACATTTATAAAAAAATTATTTACTTTACTTATATTACTCCAAATTCATTCGCAACTAGTACCTATACGTTGCGCGCGCAAGTACGCGTGTGAATGTTGGTATGGAATGATCTATATTTTCATGCTTATGATATATTTGACCAATCACATTACGAATAAAATGTCTTCATCAATGTATATATTTTCATATTTTTCATCTAAATTATAAAAGTGGACTCCACCAACCTATTTTTAGTTTTCATGCATGCGACATGCAAAGCTGTAAATCCAGCAAATATTCCAGTTGTTATTATAGGTTCATTTACATCCATAACAACTTCCAATTCATTATCTTCAATGGCTTGATACATTTTTAAGTTTCCAATATTTGGGGTTAGATTTAATTCCTTCGAAACATAAGAGAGGGCGTGACGCGATAAATAAAATCGATAGCTACGATATTCATTTGTTCTTTGATTCATTTTGGATTGGAAAATATTTTTGGTGAAAAAAATTATTGTAGTGAACCGCACAATCTGAAACATTGATATAAAATTTAAATACACTGCTTACAATATTTATTTACGAGTATTATTATAAAGTAATGGTCAATAGAAAGAACCATGGCAAAATTATTGAAAAAAAATTCGTTTCTAAAAATTGAATTTTTTATTTTTTCTAATTTTTAGATATCAATTTTTTTTGCCATAGTTTATTTGTTATAAAATTTTTAAAATTATTAAATATATGCTGGATTATAATTCTCATTAAAAAATAACTTATTTTTATTATAAATAAAAGAACAATTTTTTTTTGAAGACTAAGATTTTTTCTCATGGCGAGAGTAAAAGAGATGAGCCAAATAACGTAGGTACTGAAGAGCTATATGAATGTTAATTAATTAACATATCTAGTAATTAAAAAAAATTTAACTTACTGGTATAATGTTCAAATTTTCTGGGCGATGAAGATAAAAAGTCGAATTGAATTATCTGCGGCTGGATTTTAATTTAATATGTCAATCGTCTATCTCCACGTGGTTGATTGTTGATATCACGTGGTTTAAAATCACTGTACTACGTAAACACGTTTATAGATATGAACCAACGTTTCATTTAGAAATGGCCCATTCTAGTCAAAAACTTATCTGTCAAACTATACATAAGGTAAAAGACCCCATTAGTGGCACGTTTAACCCCTGTTAGTGGCACTTTTTCTTTCAATGAATAAATGTTCTAATTGGAATATTAAAAATGAAAAATTTTTTTTTGATTTAAAGGCCTTAAAGATTAGAAATAATATATTAATTATTGAAATTAATCATTTCGTTAATTGAATAAGTACCAAAATCAAAACAAGTGTCAGTAATGGGGTCCTAAAGTTAGCCGACATTTTTGATTTTTTTATTTTGCTTAATTTATTAAATTATAACTAAAAAATATTTTTAAAAAATTGCACTTATAGTTTTTTAAATTTTTAATAAATGAAAAAATTTTTTTTGATAATTCTTTAATACTTTTATCTACTTTTTGATAAATAATAAATAAATATATTAACAAATTAAATTTCGAAGTTTGAAATTTCCCGCGCTTGTAAATTTAAACAGTCGGCTGAAGTCAGCTGCGAGTGCAAGTCGATATATCTCGAACTCGTTAGTTTTATCGTAGAAAATTTGTGTAATTGTTGTTAAATTATGTTTTAATTGTATTTTGACATTTATTATGAATTATTTATTCAATAATTTAGTTATAATTATTTAATTACTGTGTTTTTTATTTATTAAATTTATTTAAAAGTGGAATTGTCAACTGCGCAGCTTCTACTGCGCAGATGACTGGTGGAATAACCGTTGGTGTTTTTCAAACGGTACCGGCTCGTGATTTAACAATTGACGATCGTACTTGTGAATGTTGATTATTTAATTTCATTAATAACAATTATTATTAATAATAATTAGTATTTTTTTAAATATTTACTTGAAATCAGTTGATTTTTTAAAATTTTATTAGTTTATTAATAAAATGGTTTTTAATTTCGCCATTTTAATTTTTTTTACAATAATTAATTTAAGAACAATTTTCTGAGTGTTATAAATAAATTATTAAGTGATATAAGTGAGTGAAAAGTGATAAATTATTGATGAAATAAATTTTAATTACTGAGGATTTTTTTTTATCAAATAAATTATTTTAAAAATTATAAATGTAATAATATAAAATTTTTTATTTTCATTTTTACAACAAATAAATTATTAAAAAATAAATGACAATAATTTTTTGACAAATTTAGAAGTGAAATTTAAAAAAAAATTAAGTGACAGATTAATTTTATTATTTTTTTAACTAAATTATAAATACAATTTCAAAACATTAAAATTAGCTGTCACCTGATTAATTTTTAATTTTATTTAATAATTAAATTATAAAAAATTATTTTTTAAAAAATTGCATTTTTTATTTTTTAGATGTCAATTTTTTTTTGCTATAATTTATTTATTAAAAATTTTAAAAAATAATCAAAATTTTCATTACAATTTTTTAAAGATAATTTTTTTATTTTTAAATATAAAAAAATAGAAATTTATAATAATAATTTGTTAAAAAAAAATCCTAGAAATCATCAGCTGTAATTTAATTAAAGAATAATTAATTGTCAAAAAAAAAAAATCCACAAGTGTATAAGTGTAAAAAAAAAAATCATCAAGTACCTCCAGAATAAATAAAAACGTGAGTAATTTATTTAATTATATATATATATATATATATTTATTATTTAAATTTATCAATAATAATTATTGTCACTATTACAAAAGACATTTTCTAATTTTTAAATAAAAAATCATAAAGAGGGGTAATAAGGACGATTATTAGGTGGGGGATTTTGAGGAGGGTAATAAATCTGCGTTGGATAGGCATACTGGTACTGAGGAGGAGGAACAGCTGGTGGAGGAACGGAGTAATTAGGCTGAGGTAGGTGCATTGGAACCATGTTTGGATTTAGCGGTGGAGGCACCGACATGTTCGCTGGTGCTTGGTAAACTTGTGGAGGCGGTGGGTAGGCAGTGAAACTGGGTTGGATAGGCACAGTAGTGGCTGGCAGAGTTGCTGGAACTGGTGGCAGAGCTGCTGGGTAGACTGTTGGTGGTGGATAGACAGTGAAGTTTGGCTGGACTCCTGTTGATGGTGATGGTAGAGGGGCTGGAGCTCCAGCTGGTTGGAGTGGCTGGGTTGATCCTTGTTGCGGCTCTGAGTAGTTGTTGGATCTTGGTTCTGGTGGTTCTGCTGTTTAATTATTTTTTTTATAGTTAGCTCATTTTTTATCAAAATAATATTAAAAAATATTTTTTTTTAATAACAAAAATTCAGATTTTTATAAAAATTAAATTAAAATTTTTTATATTGAAAAATTTATTAAAAAAATTTTTTTTTTTTAATTCCACATGCGAAAAATTAAAAAAATAATGCATGCGATTTTTGAAAAAAATTTTTTTAGTTGTTTAACTTACTAGAAGTTGAATCATTAGATACTGGTGTTGATGATGCTGGTTCTGAAGAAGAGTTTGGCGTTGTTGGTTGTGAAATTTCTTTCAAAGTATTGTTTTCTAGTGTATAAGTGTCCAGCACTTGGTGACAAATATCTAAAAATAATTAAATATTATTTTTATTTTTATAATTTAATGTGAAGTCCTGCAATTTTTAAAAAATTTTTATAAGTACCTTCGAGTAATTCCATAGTAACATCTTCGACAAACATATCCCACCATCTCAAATGATTTGGTTGTCTTCCGTCCCAGTCGACGACTTCAAATTTACTTAATTTACCTGCTAGGTACATTACTGCGACAGCTATTATTTCTGGCTCCCATTGCAATGATAATGTCGTACTTAAACTAATAAATAAATCAATACATTAATTAATTAATTAAGTGATCTAGTAATTTTTTTAATTTATTTTACCTATCGTTGACGAAATTCCAGGCCATTTGCAATTTTTTCTGTAATTTACTCTTGTCTCCTAAAAAAACAATTGATAATTAATTTAAATAGAATAAATTTGCAAATTTTTTAATAGATAAATCAAATATAAAATACCTTTTAAACATTTGACGTACTTCAATAAATAACTGTAAGGATGTTCGACTTGGAGGTCGAATTTTATTGTTTGTAATAAAATTTTTTCAAGAGTCATTATTTTGTCCTGAAATAGAAATTATTATTATTATTATTATTATTATTATTATTATTATTATTATACTCGGGAAAATTTTTATTAACAAGCTAAAAATTTAATTATGTTTTAATTCAAAATTTTGGCTAAAATATTGAAAATATGTAAAAAGTATATTAGACCTTTTTTATAGAGAATTTAATTTCCTACAAAAAAATTTCTTGTCAATTTTTCTCTCTCTATTCCTTTTTCCAAAATTTGAAATTAAAGTTTAAAAATTTAATTATAAAACTTATCCTTAGTTTTCAAAAGTTAAAAGTACTTTTTTAGCTTAAGTATTAAATATATAAAAAAATTATAAGAGACTTTTTTTTAAAGGGTCAAATTTTTAACAAAAAATGTCCGTATTTTTTTTCTCTCATTTTGTTGGCCAAAATTTGAATTTTTAATAAAAAAATAAACTTATAAAACTCATCCTTAGTTTTCAAAGGTTAAAAATTAAAAATATCAAAAAAATATAAGAAAACTTTTTTATAATAAAATTAAATTTTCTACAAAAAAGTCTTTATCAATTTTTTCAAAATTTTTAATCTTTAATCTAGAATATTAAAAATAAACACTCAAATTTTTACCTTAAAATTTAACTAGTAATTTTTTAAATTATTATTATAAATAATAAATAATTACCTTTGGATCTCGACCAAAAATAAGTGAAAATTTTTGTTCAGTTAATAAAATTTTTGAAGTTTCAATAATATCTTTACATTTTTTTGGAGTTTCTTCAACTTTTCCAGCCAAAAATAAGCAAGCACATGCCGTAATCTGTCAAAAAAAAAAAAAAAAAATAACATTAATAAAAATAAATATTTACATAATATAAAAATTGATAATAAAAATAAAAAAAAAAATATTTTAAGTACTTACATAACGTGGAAATTGTTTGAAAGAATGTTTCATATAAAAACGATGAAAATAAATAACACCAGTGGCAATAGTGTTATTAAATATTAAATTTAAACTAGTACCTAAATTAACAATAAATCTTACACCTTCTTGCCTGTACCTACATTCTGTTTCGTAATCTATCGCGTCGTTAATTATTGACGGTGTTTGTTTCAATTCATTTTTATCGTAGTACCAACAAGGCATTTTTACAGAATTTTATTTTCTTATTTTTATTATTATTTACTGTTTGATCAATGATAATAAATAGTGATTTTAAATTGTATATATTTATATGTAAATAACTAATTAGAGGCACATAACCTTACAATAACAAATACACGTGACACGTCAAACTTTTGTTATCTCACTCTTGTGCTTGAAATTTTAGAGGTTACAGTTATTTTATCGTAGGAAAGTACTGACGTCTAGTAGCAAATATTTTAACTATTTATACCGCCATTTTTTCAAAATATTTTATTATTATTATTATTATTAAAAAAAATTTTTTTTAATTAGAACAAATGATAATATTTTAACGAAAATTAATTAAATTACCAAGATAATTAAATTTTCTATAAAAAAGGTCTTTTATAGAATAAAATAGAGTATAATTTCTTTTGTATCACAATATTTAATGTTTTGCAAAAGTGTTACTATTTTACATTTATAATAATTATTTTTTAACCGTTTTCTTTGGTGCGCTCTTTTTTTTTTTTTTTTTTTTTTTTTTTTATAAGTACACACCACTCTCTATATAATACACCCTAAAAGTTATTACACCCCCTTATCTTAATTAAATTTAATTTGTTTTAAAATATCACTCTCTTTACAGCTAAAAAAAGGTCTCATAATTTTTTTTTATTTTCAATATTTCAGCCAAAAAAAGCCAAATTTGAACTTTTGAAAACTATAGATTTCTTAGAAAACTTCATTTTTGGATTTGAAATTCAAATTTTGGAGAAAAAAATAAGTAATAAAGCAAAATTGATCAGGACCTTTTTTTATAGAAAATTAAATTAGAAGGTTTCATATCATCTTTTTGTAATTTCAATATTTTAGCCAAAAACAGTATTTTAAACATTTAAAAACTAGGGATAAGTTCCATAAGTTTATTTTTTAGTTAGAAATTCACAGTTTGGATAAAAATAAAAGATAGAATTAAATTGATAAGAACCTTTTTTGTAGATAATTTAATTTTTTCAAGAAAAGTAGCTTATTATTTTTTTTATTGATGATATTTTAGCTAAAAAAAGCATTTTAAACTTTTGAAAATTGAAGGGTATTTAAAAAACTTTATTTTTGAACTTTAAATTCAAAATTTTGAGGAAAAATTGAAAATAGAGCGAAATTAATAAGGACTTTTGTGTAGGAAATTTTATTTTCTAAAAAAAAAGGTCTGATATACTTTTCATATTTTCAATATTTTAGCCAAAAACAGTATTTCAAGTTCCATAACTTGATTTTTGAATTAAAAATTCAAATTTTGGATAAAAATGAGATGGGGCAAAATTAATAAGAATCTTTTTAATAGGAAATTAAATTTCTTATAAAAAATGTCATAGAAATTTTTCATATTTTCAATTTTTTACCAAAAAAACATTTTAAACTTTTGAAACCTATGGATAAGTTCAAAAACTTTATTTTTGAGCTTTAAATTTAAATTTTTAAAGGAAGTAAGCCCGGATAAAATAGCCAAGGACTTTCTTTATACAAAATAAAATTCATCCTTTTATTTAATAATTTTTTTATTCATTTAAATATTCCAATATACACATTACCATGTAATTTTAAATTAAACTACAATTAAGTATCTCACATGAAAGCAAACAAAACATAAATATCCATCTGCAACTCGAATTATAAAAAGTCTCAAAGTCTCATGATATTTACAAAAAAATTTACAAATAAAAACTATATACACCTCTTCAAAATTTACAAAACTAATAACAACAAAAAGAAAAAATTAGAAAAACGGTTCACCCTAAAGGCCATCCCTGCAACTTCCCGCTCATTTTGTACTTAAACGCTTCAAACTACACATTACGTTTTTGAGCTCTTCGAGCTCAAAAATATTGTTTTTGTGTCAATTTGAGCTCTTCGAGCTCAAAACTCTAATAGCAGTTTAGAGACACAATTATTTTGAATTTTCAAACGGCAATAACTTTTGAATGAATGAACCGATTTTCAGGTGGTTGGCGGCAATCGACGCAGTTTTTTGAACTCTATAAAAAAAGTAGCTGTTTTAAGCTTTTGAGCTCAAAAGTCTTATCAAAATTTGATAAAACACGATTTTTTTAATTTTCAAACTGCTATAACTTTTGAATGAATGGACCGATTTTCACGCGGTTGGCGACAATCGACGCAGTTTCTGAAGCTCCATGAAAAATTTTCAAGTTTAAATCGATCGAGCCATGAATTTCGAAGTTATTACAAAAAAACACTTTTTTCGATTTTTTTCCATGGGCATCCATGGGGGTTTTCAAGGTTAAGAGCTGATTAGTTTTTGAGACCGATTGGTTCAGCCAATTCAAAGATATTTAAAAAAAATGAAAAAAAAAAAAAACAACTTTTTTTGCATTTTCTCGAAATCTACCGGTCCGAATTTTCAGGAAATCTAAGTTTAGTGAAGCCCTTTCGAATGACACCAACCGCGAGGAAATCGGTCAAGTCGTTCAAAAGTTACAAGAGGTTTACATACACACATACACACACACACACACACACACACACACACACACACACACACACACACACACACACACACACACACACACACACACACACACACCCACACAACACACACACATCACACACACACACATACATACATACAGACGTACGGACATCATCGTAAAAATAGTCAGGGAAGCTTCTTGTGACCTTCAAACGTCGAGATCTGATGAAAACTCGATTTTTGTAAAACGGGGTGAAAACAATAACTTCCCGATTTTTGAAAATATGAAATTTTTAGCGGGAAGTTAAAAATAACAACATTATCCTTATCCTCAGCGTATTTTCGCAAACATATCATCAATATCCCCTTTATTAAGCCCCTGGCCTAAATTCTGATAATTAATTAAAATACTATTATTATTATTATTATTATTATTACTATTATTATTATTGTAATACGCAAATTGATTAACCGGCTGCGCATTTTGTTCTTCATTAGAATTGCAAAGTGACCCTAAAAAAGTGTAGTCAACAAACGAGGTGCTATCTAAATCACTTTCATTATTATAATTATTATTATTATTATTATTATTATTATTCTTATTAATAATATTAATATTACCAGTGAGCTTATTATCCAAATCACAAGAATAATTGCATAAATAATTATCAGCTTCAATAGATTGATTAAAATTAGACCTGGAAGAATCTTGAGTTGTTTTTTGGATATTATTTTTTGAAAAATTATTTCCAGTTGGTAGGTCTGCATTATAAATAGAATAATAATCATCGTAATTGTATCCTAAACAATTATTTTCATTAGAATAATTATTCTGACTAGGATACTGAGTTTCTTCAATTACTACTTTGGGTGTTAATAATTTTGTTAGATCATTGCGTTGGTAATTAGAATCAAATTTGCTTTCAGCTGATTTGTTGGCATTGTAGACTAAATTAGGCTGGTTGTATAATTTATCATCTTGATTTTGAGAAAGAGCGCTGTTTGATGAGTCTTCACTGACCAGTTGGTTCCAGTAGATGTCTTCTTGGGACTTTACTTGGTACTTTATGGTCCCAGAGCCTAGATCTAGAAGAGTTGAAGGAGATCTGTTGCTTGAATTGGTGCTGGAAGGGTTTGAAGGAAAATCGGCTCGCAGAGGCTGGTCTAGCTGGAAGATCTCGCCAGGTTGGAAGTATTCTTCCGTAATTGTTGGAAAGTCGTAGGGATCTTGAGTGCTTTGAGATTGTGGAGTGGTTTGAGACTGCGGAGCTACGAAGATGGTTTCGGTGTTGGTTGAGTCTTGGTACCAGTAAGCTTCTGAGGGTTGCGTGTAAGGTTGGTATTGCTGGTATGGTATTGATGGTTGGTTTGGGCATGTACATTCGAAGGCTAGGTGCGAGCATGAGTAGCCTGAAATTATTAAATAATGAATTTTGGTAAATTACACTGTATTTTTTTTTTTTAAATATAAGCTCATCTTGATGTTACAAGAGTCAAGAGCTTTCATTTGAGTACCCACATGGATTTTTGATATATTTTTCATATATTCATATATATATATAATATATATAAATATATGAAAAATTGATGTGGGTACTCAAATGAAAGGTCTTGATGAGTGTAATTTCGGGGTGAGCTCATATCTTTAAAAATGTGAGTAGTTCACAAGATAATTGTTAAATTGCAATGTACTTTCTTAATTATTGACATTTTTAAAAATATAAGCTCATTTTGATGTTGTACTCGTCAAGAGCTTTCATTTGAGTAGCCACATGTATTTTTGATATATACATATGGGTGATTCTCTGTAAGGGCGTCTTAAATCTATACAAAGTTGTCCGACTAAATTATTTTTGATTTTATTAGAAAAAAAATTAACAAGGGTTACAAAACTATTAACTTAATCATAATAAATAAACAGCCGAATTAATTTTTGCTTTTTCGATATTTGTGTATCTTGTGCCATGTAACATGACAGGGGACTGTTGCCAGGGGACTGTTTTTTTCTTATCAAATTGAGAAAAATCAAGCAAACTATTTCAATGCATTCAGTTTTTTAAATTCTCAATGAATGTTTACATTAATTAGAATAATATTAAGACTTATGGATCGAATTTTATAAATAAAAATAGCTGCCAGGGGACTGACGTTTTTAAGTGGCCCAGACACATATTTCCAGCACAAACGGTGCTTTAACACTAAATAAAATGCCGATAAAGCGCTAACAGCCCTATGGTTATTAACTTAAGGCTAGTTAGATCCTTATAAACTTTACAAAAGGTAAAATAACACGCTGGATTTTTTTATTTTTGGCTTTGAACTTCTGGCAGGGGACTGTACTTAAAATGCCTGGGACAGACTTCGATTTGATGAAATTAATAAAACAAATTAATTTTCGGTACTTTTCATTGAAAAAGATTGTTAGTTAACTAATTAAGTTTATAAACATTGTGGACCAAATTATATATTATGAACGAATAACTTAAAATTTAATCTTAAAGTTTTAATTTGGGGAGTGGGACAGCCCAGGGGACTGTCATTTTGGTGGTTTACGAATTTATAGCAAAAAAACCAAAATTTATTTCATTTCAATTTTCAATGCTCCAAATAGAAATGTTTTTTTGCTTTCATAATAAATTTTTTTTTAGTAACAAAATAACAATTTTTCTAATAAAACAATGCCTGGGACAGCAAAAAACATCCTTACAGAGAATCACCCATATATTTAATATATATGAAATATATAAATATATGAAAAAATGGTGTAGGTAGTCAAATGAAAGGTCTTGATAAGTGTGATTTTAGGGTGAGCTTATATCTTTAAAAATGTCAATAGTTCTCAAGATATAAAGTCATTTCTCAATCAAGTATCTATAAATAGAGCATTATAAATAATAATTACATTTATTAGAAATAAGTGGTGGTGGTGGTTGTTGTTGTAGTTCTTGTTGTTGATAATTTCTTTTTACTGGTAGAGAATATGGTCCGGAAGTTCGACGTTTTCTTTGTTTTAGCGACATAATCTATTAAATAACAAAAATTAAAAAAATTACTTTTAATTATAAAATTAAAAATAGATTGAGAATTTAAGGATGAATAAATATAATTACCTTTGATCCAACAGCCGCATCGCGATCTAGAAAAACGCCGAATCCTTTAATCCTCCTCCCATTAGTATTACTTCTGCGCGATTCCGCAGTTGATTTTGGTTCAGGACGCGGATGATCGTGGTGTCCTTTTGCTTGGAAAAATACTGCATAAGGTGTATGACGCCAAAAGTGCGTTACTGGATAACCACAGTGACCTCGACATGGTTGTATCTCTAGGACTCCGGGACATGGTTTATTTGGACATGTTGTATTTTGTTGTTTTTTCCTAGCCTGTTAAAAATTTTAACAACAACAATAAATTAATAAGTTAGTTATTTAAGTTTCTTTTTAAAATTTTCGCTTAAGGTTTAAAAATATGAGAAAATTTTTCAAATTCAAATTTAAATAAATAAAGCTTCAATTATTTTCTAAAAAAAAAATAAATTGCAAGCTTACCTTATCACAAATGGCCGGTCGTAAGTGTACCTGTCCTCCATTGGGCAAAATGCATTTAAGTGAGCAGACAAGCACACCCAAACAAGATTTTTTTAAAATACTAACATTATGATTGTTAGTATTCCTCATAGCCCACCCGGACAAATGTTTCCTTGCTTCTTCACAATCTGGGTCGTAAACTTGTCTTACATGTCCATCAGCCCACTCCGAAAAGAGATCATAGTTCACGACCTGTAATTAAATTAATTAATTTATTAACAAAAATATTTTTTGGGAATTTCCTAAAAAAATTCAGTCCACAATTTCTATCCCAAATAATTCCAGTCTTCACCTGATACTTCAATAAGTCAAGTCATAAATAATTTCGAAACTAAAATCCTTCTATTGTCAGCTATAATCTTAAATCCCACCGGTTGTATATACTTCGTCTTGGCCTGGGTAAGACGCGTAGGTATGAGTTACTACAGGGTGCAATTTTACGACAAAGTACATAAGTACGTGAAGTACTGTAGTAAATGGAGACAATGAGAAAATCACTTGCAGATGGCGTGTTAAGGTAAATAATATACTTAAAAACTAAATTTTCTTTCTTTATTCTTCTCTAGCGCATGGCTCTTATTTAAAGTGACCTGGAATGGAATTTCCCTGGGTCGGAAAAAATACTCGGGGAATTCCCTGATGATCTTTTATTTTTCCCAAAAATTTAACGATCGTAAAATTATTATTTTCAATTTTTGATATTTATGACGAGTTTGGGGAATTTTTTAATTAATTTTGAAAATAATAGTGCTATTGGATCAATTATAAATAATTTAATGGACAAATGTGAAGAAACAAATTTATAGAACAAACTATTAAAAACTCCGCCTTTACATAAAAAATTGATAAAAATATATAAAACACTGATTCTTATCAAGACCTTTCTGATGATACCAAATTAAACTGAAAAAACTCCTTAAAATAATAATATGCTCGTAAAAAAATTTTCTTTACTCTTGAAATTATTTAAATGATAGAAAAAAGTAAACTGTAATATTAACTCGGATTCCGGTTAATTTGTTATAGTTTCAAACAATAAAGCGGACATCGGGGTGGCAAAAATATAAATATTACAGAACTTAATGTAGAAAGTATAAAAGCCACCATTTATAATTTAATATCCAACATTAAGCGATAGTTGTCACTATAGTAAATAACGACTCTTTCATCTTAAAAAAATTACAGTTTCAAACAGTGAAAATTGCCATTTCAATATATAGTCAATATTATGAGGAGAAGGGGAACTCAGATGAAAGAGAAGGGGGTCTCACTCTGGGAGAATTTAACATTTGAAACAGTAAAAATTATACTTTTAAAATATACATATTACCAGTCCAAGCAAGTCAATAATTACAGTTTGATTTTTAGCGTTGCGTTTAAAATTTACCATTTTACTTAGTAAATATTGACGTTGCTTGTATTAGAAATTTACTAACTTTATTTTATACTTTTTACATATCATTACATCATTTTTTGGGTACCAAATGATAAATAGCAAAGTCTGAATTGTTATTAATTATTATACTTAAACATTTTAGACATTTACATAGCGAATATTACTGTTTGAAATAGTATTTTCTTCCATGTAAAGAGTAAATTGTATAATGTTTAAATTGTAAATATTATAAAGTGAATAGTAAAAGTACGATTTTACTGTTTGAAATGGTAATTTTTAGCAGTTGATCATTACTTATTATAAATCGACTGTTATTTATTACAGTTTACTTTTTTCCGTGTGTACTAAATTTAATTAAAAAAATTAATTTTATCTTATAAATAAACCAGAGACAAAATTATTGATTCTTACATTGGGAACATTAGAGTCGTTAATATCCCACTCTTGAGGCGATTGCTGTTGATTACCTCCAACATTGGCAGACATTGTCGGTGATCGCATGCTACTCCTGAAAAATTGACGGATCTTTTAGTTTGTTTGGAGGAAATTGTTGGAGTTTAATCTAGAGATTGCGCAATATAGCAGAGGCTTGGAGTTGGAGAGAATAAGAGAGATAAAATCCCAATTTATGGCACGCATGAGAGGTGTATCTTTTGAGACACTATATACTTATGGGGAGACGTGGGTGGCCTTGGTGACAACCGTATTCACTTCATTATTTATTTATTTATTTATTTATTTATTGTTTTTAGTACTTTTGGAATTAAAACTAAATTATTATAATTTATATTAATTATTTTTATTCTACTGGCTCACGGAAAAAAAGCATTTTAAACTTTTGATACTCTCTAAATCTGAAACAGTGAAAATCACTGGAAATTAGTAGTAAATTCACTGTTTCACAGTTATAAGTATACCACTTGGTAGACTTATAACTGTGAAACAGTGAAATTCCACTGATTCATTTTTAGAGAGTAAGTTTTTTAACTTAATTTTTAAATTAAAAATACAAATTTTGGCCAAAAAATTACAAATAGAAAAATTATTAAGGACGTTTTTTGTAGAATATAAAAAAGGTCCCGAATTTTTAAATTCAAAAATTAAAAACCCGAAAAAAAAAAATGATTCAAAAGTATAAATAAATGATAACAAATAAATCCGTAAAAATAAATAAACGTAAAAGGTAAAAGGGTAAAGAATGAAGGTAAAGGTAAAGAAGAAATGATTCAAGAGAAGGTAGAGTGAATGATTGCCCGGATCGGTGATAAAGTCATCGCCTTTAGCACCAAGTAAGATGATACATCGAGCGGTGATTTTAAAACGAGATTGTAAGCCTTAAAACATGTGTGTTATTCGTATATATTCCTCCATCTACCGATATATTTCATTTTATTTTTATATTTAAGTTTGAAACAAAAATTTCCCTCTCTCTCTTGACACTCATTAAAGTCTTCCGTATTTTCTGGGTTTAGTAATTAGAATATATGATAGAAGGATTTGTTTTTATTTAATAAGCTTGTAATATAATGAAATATAATTAATGCAAACTAGCAATTTTGCAGTCACTGTGTGACTGCTGACTTGTGAAATATAAATAAATAAAATTTTGCTTTATTAAATAATGAATTTTTTAAATTGCACTGTACTTTCTTAAATATTGATTTTTTTAAAGATATAAGCTCATCTTGATGTTACATTCAACAAGAGCTTTCATTTGAGCACCCACTTCCATTTTTGATATATTATTCATATATAGATATATATATATATATATATATATATATATATATATATATATATATATA